CTGGAACGTCGCCGTGATGCTTCCCTCTCGGAAGCGACAAACTCAGAAACGTCCAAGGCTGACTAGAGTTGTCGAGGAAGACGAAATGTCTACGAGAGATGGTGACGAAGATTACGAATACCGTGAACCAGCCGAGGATGAAGAAGAAGACAACACTCCGTCCACGGCATCCGTAGAGGTTGAATCCGAACCGGACGTCCACAGCGAGATACTGGAGGATGTTCCCAAGACGCCCTCCAAAAAGCGTAAACGCACCATCAGCACGCCCTCAAAAACCACTCCTCGAAAGAACCGCACGCCGAAACTTGCTGCCCCTACGCCACACTCCAAGGCTGCGCTCCGAAAGCGTGGCAGGAAAGCGCCTGGCGTGCGCGTTCCACCGCCTGATTTCACACAGGAACACTATAAGCAATTACAGAAGTTACCCCCGGATCCCTGGCTGCGGGCTATGCACGTACTGCATGTTGCCGCGCGACCGGATATTCTACCTTGTCGCGAAGAAGAATATAATCGGGTATTGCGTACAGTGGAGGAACTCCTCGAAGAAGGCAGTAGCGGATGCGTTTGTATGTGCCATCCAACAGTGTGTCCGTTCTGATTACTGAACCTCCCGTCCAGATATCTCGGGGGTACCTGGGACAGGTAAAACAGCCACAGTACATGCAGTCGTCCGAGAGCTCAAACGGATGGCGGAAAGCGGCGTCAGTATAACCTCTATGAATTCTCTTGTTGACTCACAGTTCGTGACAGGAAACAAACCCATTTACCTATGTCGAAATCAACGGGTTAAAAATCCCAGAGCCATCTGCGGCCTATAATCTTCTTTGGGAGACCGTCTCAGGTCACGACGTTGTCGCTGACGGTCATCTGAAGGTCAGCTCAAAGGAAGCCCTAAAACAACTCAATAACCACTTCTGTGCCGGCGTCAGGGCCGGTCCAGGTGGACATGCATGGTAAGTAGGCGACGCCATTCGCAGCCATTGTCGATTTGAACAGAAACACTGCAGTATTGTTCTGATGGACGAGCTGGACCAGCTCGTAACGGCAAAACAAGACGTGGTCTACAACTTTTTCAATTGGCCCACGCTAGTTGGGTCGAAGCTTGTCGTCCTCGCGGTCGCGAATACAATGGACCTTCCTGAGAGGGCGATGAACGGGCGGGTACGAAGTCGACTAGGTAAGTTGGACCGCGAGCTTTCACTGACAATCGCATCCAAACGCAAATATTCTCAGGTATGATCAGAATAAATTTCCAGCCCTACTCAACGGCCCAGCTGGAAAGGATTGTTCACGCGCGGCTCCTTGCGGCGAAAGAGGATTGCCCGGACCAAAGGGACGTCATCAATGCGGACGGAGTCAAATTTGCCTCGATGAAGGTGTCCTCTATCAGCGGCGACGCACGGAGAGTACTGGATATATGTCGACGCGCCGTCGAGCTCGTCCATCGAAAGGGGAAAACAGCAGGAATGGAAGATATAAAGGAGATCATCAAAGTCATGCAAAACAGCCCCACCGCTGCATACTTGAAGGAATGCAGTCTACATGAGCGGATCACGTTAGCTTCGCTGATTAAGTGTATGAAGAGGGAGGGAGTGGAGGAGATCAAGTGGGGGGAGGTAAGTGCCTGGTCCCGGAAGCTGTCGCTCATCCTGATGAACTGAGGGGCTTTCCACAGATTCAGCAACAACATATCATCTATGTTGACGTTCTTGGGGAGGGAGAGTCGACGCGGAAACCAACTTTGGGAGAACTTACCTTTGTACTGGATTCGTTGCTCGCATCGCGGGCGATTCTCATGGAGGACGGGCTCACTGCTGCACGAAAACCGGTGAGCGAGCGAAGGGTGATACTTAACTTGGAGCAGACCGAGGTAGTGCGAGTTCTAGGTGAAGTTGGTGGAGAGCGGTGGAGGAACGCGTTGAGCGCAGGCGCGTAAGTACGTAGGCGCTTGACAGAATGTCACGTAGAGCCACCACCATCGATCGGCAAACGCGTTCTAGTTTTTGTTCCAGTCCTTCACCCACACCCCACACTTAGATCTGATCAAGCAAACGTTTCGACGAACCTATATATCGCTGCATCCCAACCATCTCGCGTTTCAAAAGCGCTCACCAAGATGTTACTGACAGCCACGCAAGATCAAGTTGGCAACAGCGCTAGGAGGATAGGACGAGAATTCCTCTTCGAAGATTACTGGGCCCCCAAGCTCGGACTCCCTGATCCCAAGGTCGACAGTGCCAAATGGAACACTGGTTGGGAGAAAGCTATTTCGTCCTTCACCAGCGCGAGACACGTAGTCGAGGAAATGTAGGAGGTTTTCTTTGGCGTGGACAATAAGAGCCGCCCCGCCCCCGCCGCGCTTCCCGAAAATTTCAGGGAGATGGTTGACCAAATGGGTAGCATCGTTCGCGAGCGACAGCATCACGCTGCTAAGATTGTCGGGGGAATTCTTGAGGGGTGTCATCTGGACACGATCTGGCTGCTGCTCGACGCCACGGAGCAGCGGTGACACGTCCTCCACAGCCTGGTTAACGCGTGCACACGCTCCATTGTGGGTGAAGACGCGCGAGCGGTGTGTCCGGAGCTCACGGTGACGCAGCTGCTTGCGCAGAGAGGCAAGGGTTTTGTACAATTTATCAATCGGTATCACGAACTCTCGAAAGCGGCCGAGCCTAATAAGCTGTTTTCGATTCCAAATGCGTGGTGGGACGAGGTGGTTAGCGATGCTGAACCACCGTTGTATCCAAAGGCGAAGCTCATGTACGAGATCGCGACGTTGTACAGGGCCGATTTCGCCGGTAGGTTGATTCTGTGACCTTCGGAACCTGCTGATGATAGGTGTATCTGGGTGCGGTTCTACAGGCTCATTTGGCCTCGCGATGATAGGGTCAATTGGGGATGACGTTGGGAAAAATCTAGGGATGAAACCCGTCTTCGTCCAGAACACAGACGGCTTCTTTGCTCGATCTATGGCGCAGACAATGGCTAGCCTAAGAGAGAAGCCGCTCATACGATGCAAAAACTGTATGAAGACACCGGAGGAGGTCGGGTCCGACGTTCGTTTCATGGTGTGCAGCGCATGCAAAAACAAGCTCAACATTACTATCCATTATTGTTCTCAGTAAGTTCATCCGCGTTTCCGCCTGACAGACATTAACGATGCTAAATCTCACCATAGGCAATGCCAACTCGCAGACTGGAAAGCGCATAAACGTAACTGCGGCAAGAAGCCTGTCTTCAAGGGCCTACCAGGGACAGCCGGGGATAGGCTTTAGATGCACAATGACCCCCACGTGGATTTAAATCAAGAAGTTTGAGAAAACCGGTGCACAGCGGCTGAAAGGGTTTACATTCCTTGAATCTTTATAGTAAAAATTCCGGAAAAAAAGTTTTTGATGATGTAGATGTATGGGTTTGTCTGGTAGGTGATGACTTACGACGACTTGTTAAGATACTCCACGATGGGTTCATGGTCTGGATTTTATGTTGACTGAACTTGCATGTACTACCACTCACATTTGACGTGTTTTGCCTGCGTATTGATGCAGTGACTTGCTAGCGTCTGGCGTGCCACCACTCCCTACCACATATTTTGAATGGTTACCAATGCAACGCAATAATTTATCGAGGCTTTGGCTGTGGAATAGTTTTGTAGGATGACCGGTGGGAATACCAATGTAGCGTCGAGAATTATGGATCGGGAAATCGCTGTAGGCCATGGCGCGGGGCTGAGGACCACGAGCTTGATCAGAAGCCCAACCAAGGCATGCGAGATTTGAGCTCTGAAATTACCTTCGGTGTTTAAGAAAAGGCAGTATAACACACGGCGCTGCCGAGAGCCCAGACAACCCTTGAGCCGGAGGTTGAACAACAGGGTTAACAATCTTCTCGACAACTCGGCGCGCGCAAAATCCACCTCTGGAGCAAAGGCTTCCACTGGCGCCCTGATATGACACGTTTAAGATGCGCTCTGGGTTCGTGTCATCTCTCCCGTATCCCAGTCCCATATGCTGATAAGAGGGTCTAATCCTCCGGTCGCAAATTGTCTACCATCAGGAAAGCAGCGAAAAGCGAGCACATCGTGACCATTACCTCGAAGGGTCTGTTTTTCTCGAAGTCGGCGAGGAAGTATCAAGGATGGATTTTGACACAGTAATAGCCTTTGCGCCTTGTGCGGCTGCCTCGAGCGGTTAACAGGAAGAGGGTGTGAGTGACGGTGAGGATCACTGAACGCGCGACAGGAAAGAGGCGGGTGTGCTGTCCCAATCAAGTTCGTCGTTGGATGCAAGGACAGGTGCGACGGAGACGGGAGGGCAGTCGGCAGAAATCAGCTCACCGGTTCCGAAAGGCAAAGAATCTCCGTCGGAAGGTTCTCAGAGCGGGCAATGACATCGTTCGAACTACGGCGGCGAGCTGAGGCGCTGACGTTCCCAAGATATAGGTGTCACGGAAAGTCGGTATATCTGTTGCGGAGAAAGGATGGCCCACCTTTGTGTGTACGATGGCTGCCGAGCGTGAATGCATAAGTAACGGCCGTCTTGGGCCCATGCGCAACGATTTTACGCCAACGATGGGAGCGTTTATACGCATGTAGGGCGCTGGGATGACGTACGTGACCATGAGCGAGGGGAGCCATTGTGCATTGGGTATACGCAAAGTTGGGTCCAAGTCATCACATGGGATCGGTGCTTTCGCCGTCTAATCGGTGAGCTCGATCGTGTATGCTTCGTTCGTCAGAGCGCTATTCGCCTCATTGAATAAATCTTGAGCAAGGGCCATATTGGAATTTCTAGGCAAGCCCAATATGCCCCGAAACTTTGTTGTGGATGACCATGTACCGTGGTCGATGATATCGCCATTGAGGGGAGAACAGAGCGGGTTGCGTCTTCAGCAGTTTCTGTCGGGGTGAGGTGGAAACGTCGCGCGTCGGTGTCAATGCCATTCCCTTCTGGTTACGTCGAAGTCCAAGAGTTATTGTATATGCTTGAGTAGTTAAACATGGCAAGATGGCCGAGCGGTCTATGGCGTGTGACTCAAGCTGAATAAGCTTGCCTGACTAAGTCGGGTTTCTCATCTCCGTGAGGAGGCGTGGGTTCGAATCCCACTCTTGTCAATGTTTTTCTGCATTTTTTTGGTCGATTTTTTCTAAGAGCAACACAGCGATGAGTGATGACTTTGAATGCAAGTCGTGTTGGTAAGTACAAAAGTAGCAAATGATGTCTATTTATCATATGAGGCAGTCGTAGTGATGCAAAGTATGTTAATGATGTCTATCTATCATATTAGAGAATAATTGAATGCAAGCTCTATGGAGACGGCGTTGTTGGAGTAGACGGTATCATGGCATCAGCTGTCTTGTCTCTAACACCCTTCAAAAATTGCATCAAGTTTGTCCCACCCGTACCTTTCAACTTCCTTTGCTGCTCTTGTTCATCCTCTCTTTGGGATCTCTCGCGACTCGCAGGCCCGATAATATAAATCGCGACGATGACAAGGTGTGCGTCTCTAAACCGCTTGACAGCGCGCACCGCGTCATTGTAAGCGTCTGAGAGCTGCGGGTCACCTCCCAAGACAAAATTCCTGAGGGGACGCGGGTTCGCAGTGAGATGTCGCAAAAAGTTGCGATGGTGCCGAGGCATGTAGATCTGCATGCGACGGAGCAGGGTTCGCTGATCAACATTCAAGGAACCTTCTGTTTCGGTGTCGCAGTTGTCCAGGCCCAGGAATATATCCAATGCGTGGATGAGAGCGCTCTGTCCTGCACTTGGACCGGAGAGATCCGTGGGGTGCTCCAGCTCGGGATGTTCATCCAGTCCCTCAAACACCCACTCCCTGTGAGCCGGGTCCGAGTCTTTACCGCGGAACCATGGGCGTACGCTGTGATAGAAAAACTCTGGTTCGCAGCCTTTGCGCACGTCAAGAAGGATGTCCTTGAGTTCGTCGACGACGCTGGCGAGTTTGTGGAGGTAGGTGGTGATACGACGAACGGCGATTTCGTCGCCAACGAACATTTCATCCATGGTTGCGCGCATCAACTCGAGCGCTTCTACACCCCTGATTTCGATGCGGGACGAGGCGAGGTAGAATTCTTGTTCGTCGTTGGTTCCTGTGAAAAGATCCTGACTGCGGAGGTTCTCCAGTGCTGGAGGGGTCATCTCATCTGACTCGGACCTCAGACGCCAGTTGTATAATACCGTGTCAGAATAGGTTGCGACTGGGGGAAGCTGTAGCTGAGAGGACACTTCGAGGAGGGGGATCGAAATAGGAGCAGGGATGCGGATCTCCGCGTCCAGCGAAAGTGTGTGAATGTAATAGTGCATGATGAACGTGAGGACATGGTGTGATCTCCGGAGCAAGAGCTCTGACTCGGTGAGATTTTTTGTGGGCAAAACGGGCAGCTGATCGAGGCACGGGATCGTGAGTGTGAGGACAAGACTTTTCAACCGCAGCGGAACACTTACATTGCGCACGTCTGCTCGCCATGACGAGGACCTGGCGCTTTCCTCGGCAGTAAGGTCAGGTTTCATTGCGAGCTGCAGGTTGCTTGACATGGCCTTTTCTAAGATGACCTCCCAAGGCTCCCAGTCCACAGGAAGACGGCTGATGGGGGGATCGGGAGGCATGAAGCCCGTTCTTGTGTCCACGTCGAAGTCATGCGCAGCTAGTGTCGTAGTATCGACGACACCACCGCCTGCTCCAACGGCGATGTCGGGACGAGGAAGATTGAGAAAGTGGTTTGGAGGAAGAAGATCGGAGGACATCGTCGGAAAGTACACAGTGTGTGTATGACGGTAAAGAAGAGTAAAGAAGAGAATGAAGATGCGGTTACTAGCTTTTTCGGTGCTCTACTTTTTGAGAATGTAGGATGGTGTGAGTGTTGAAGCTGGAGAAAGCTGAGAAACATGTAGTCTTGCTCACCGAAAGATTACGTGATGCGATTACAATCTCATCTTATCAGTTATCGACCTGCTGTGGCTGTGCTGGTACCCAGCTCTCGTCGAATGGCCGTCAGGAAAGCCTTAGAACATAACATCTTGAATTCAAACGCATGAAAAGCGACCACGGCTGCCTTGGTGGTGTATTTGAAAGAGTACATGCTTATGCCTATTCAATGACCATAGGCAAGCATAACGCCATGCGGTGAGTGACGCTGGCAGTTCGACCGCGCAGCGACGTTTTCTGCAGGATTTTTTTTCACTGTGAAGAGCGGTTAGTAGCTTACACGTCTGCGGGATGAAACAGTGTATGAAACTGTTGTCCGCAGAGGACGACCGCAGACTGATCGAACGATCACCGGTCCAGAACAAATTTCGTGCCAGGCGACTACCGATGTGTATGCAGAAGGGAATGAAACGGGATCACACCTTCTTGGTCGAAGACTGCGAGCAAGCCCAGTACAAAGCCCACACGACCACCGAGATACCCAATTCGGTAGCGCAGCTAGAGAGACAAAACGGAAGTAAATTTCGAACAACGCACCGAGCACTTTGAAGGTAAAAAGTTGACAGTTGTGATGGAAAGTTGTCATATATAGTCTCTCAACCCAAATGCAACAATAAGGCACGTACATGCAAATCAGAGGACCAAGGGTTCGGTTGATTCGCCAACGGTAATCAAGCCGAGTGACAAAAGAGCTTCGATACCGACGTCGATCGCACGTGATGCTTCTCCGTGCTGCTACTATGAGTGTAAGGCATTGATTTGGAGAACAGTGAATACAAAGTCTGATGCGACGATTCATAGGATTTGCGCGCATCCATAAACGGACCTGGGTATGGCACCAGGACGCGTTCAGAGCAGAGAATGGACCATGCTGCGACCACAATATCCCGTCCACGGTGCGCTACAATGTTGGTGAACCCTCGAGGTGAAAGAGCTAAGCTCTTGGTCGATCGGTGGCATATGGCACGCAATGATGGAAAAGGGAGCGTTCTCTGTGCGAGACTCGGAGCAAGGCGCCGAATGAATAAGGTTCAAAGGTGGAGAATAGCGTACGGTGGACAAACTTAAGATTGGGAGACTCCACACGTTTTTTTGCAAGGGCTGGCGTTCCGAGATCTCGTCCTTTCAAGTTCCTCGATTCGGAGGGCGCAAAGGTGAAAATTTTTCGGACGGGTCAGATACTTGGTGGGATGTATTGGAAAGGCCCCGTAATGGTGACAGATCCGCTGTCATGGTGGTGAGAAGGAGACGCGTTCTGGCGCTGCAATGAGCCCAGTCGTGACCTGCAATAACAATTAGTTGACAATTAGAGTATCGGCAGTGAACGATGACCCTCGCTTCCTTTCCTTTTTTGTCCAATTGTGTTGGACCCAGCAATTGCCAGTTTCTCCCTGGTTTATTGTGTTTTGCGTTCGGGGAGCCCAGTTTCCGTTCGTTCGTCTCGTTCCCTCACTACGAACAACAAAAAACTTTGCCATGTCTCACCTCCAGTGCTTTTCGAAAACAAAAGGACCTCGACCCACTTTTTGTTCTCCACCTGTGGTCCACGTCGAGCTTCTTGACATGTTCGCCCAAGATGGACACGCCTATCAGTCCCTCCAGCTATAAAATACTCGGAATAATGGCGGAGGTCCAACAACAATCACCTCGGGCTATTCACAGCATATCAATATCTCTTCCTGAGCAATGGCACCCGCTGCAGCCAACTACTACTCCCCTCCTACCCATGCTCCTCAGAAACAACGCGGCTACCGCATCTGCGATACGTGCGGTGCAGTCGAGAACCCATCGATACAAAAGTTTCGTCTTTGCGGTGGTTGTGTGAGTCCCTCCTCTCGATCGCCGACAATCTGTCTGACTTGGGTCCGTGGTGCTGTGTTCAGATGACAACGCAATATTGTGTAAGTCAACGATTCCTCCTGAGGTCATCCCGCATTCGTCTCATTGTATGTCCAAAGTCTCCAGAATGTCAAAAATCACACTGGCCCTCTCACAAAGCCATCTGCCAGCACACTGCTGCACAGATGTCAGGGGCTAAGCAACAGCCGGTCAGCGCTACTTATCCGGATGAGAACTTGGTCAAGCACCTTCGCAAGTTCACCTCGACGCACTCTTCTCTGCTTGGATGGGCTGGTTTCCAAGCACTCCAGCTTAAACGCCTGCCTGCTAACATCCGGCAAAATGCGCTTCTGATCGAACTAAGTTATAACCCCCACGCAGAATCGTTATTCCGGTATGTTTTTCATATTCGAGGGCCTCGTGTCCAGCCACGCGTTCTGATTTCATCTCGGATCTCTCCAGATTCTCCGTAGCGGGTACACATATTGTACCCCGAACTTACGTGACCAACCCTGATCCTCTTGTCGCTGCCGATATCGACCGGAGAGAAGAGCGGTGCCGCCGTAGTGGCGGTATCGGCACGTTGGTCATTCTCGTGCAGTGCGGGGGTATCAGCCAGGTGATGCCAGTGGAAGTTGACCCACCGGCAAAGATCACTTGGGATTACCGAGACGATTGGGCAGAAGTCCTTCGTCATTTCGTTGAGTCTGGCCGAACAGACTTTAAGCCCATATCAACGACAGCGAGAGGGTAAGTCTACCCTTTAAGCAGTGGTTTACAGACTTCTGAGCTCACTCGCACCTAACAGGGTCGTCTACGGATAAATTTGTCTCGCCGTGTTTCTTTTCGACTATACTTGATCCAGCGTCGATCGCTGAACCATCTTTTTCACCTGGCATCAAACTCCTGGACAATCTGTAATGGTTACCGTTCGCATCATTCTTTATACCTGTCGTCATGCTTTGTTGTAACATGTAACATTCGGGCCTGTTCTAATAGCATAACCGTGAAGTGCATCGTATACTCTGGAACTTTCAGGATATTCAAGCGGATGAGTTAGGGATGCTGACTAATACGGACAAGTCGCCGCCCAGCATGAAGAAACCACACAAGTCCCTTTCCTCAGCACCACCATGAATGCACCGACCCAGCAAAGAGCGTACAACTCAGTACCGACAGACGGGTCTCGTACCATTACCCTAAGAGACTCGCAACCACGTCCGGAGGATGATGTTGGTCCTTCAGGGGAGTCCACGACAGTAGGGGCTCTCAGGCTACGAGGTGCGCCACGGAGAACGCGCCAGCGTGTGGCATGGGGAGAGGACGTGATAG